TTTAATATATATATATATATATATATACATACATATATACCTGCAAATGAATCACAATTCAACAAATATAAAATTCAGGAAATGAGTTGTTTTATTATATAAACAACTTTGAGTTTGAGAAAAACAACTGGCTGGTTGGTTTTATGACAAGTTATGTTTGCACAAATTTGTTACTCCTCTGCCATTTTTATTGGAAAAAATGTAATATTAATAAAATAATACAATTACTTACATCACCTCTACTTTTAAGAGTACTTCTTTTCGGCCGTAAAAGAACATCTTTAAAATCCAGTTTTATATCGTTATCAATGTGCGGCATTTTATAGTTTAACTTTTCGAAAAACAGTAAGTCATACAATGTTTACAATTTCCATGAAAATGACTAAATTCCGTTCTCTCCGCCGTTTTCGGAAAAACGAAAATGCTGGCACAAGCTTGATCCTGGGCTACTACAGCGCCTCTTTACGTGCTTCGCTAAAATGTGAAAGTATAATAATACATTTCTAAAATCATTCAACCTTCTAGTCTCATAACAACAAAACGGACATAATTTATACTTAAAATGTGACATATTTGTTAATTTTAAAACATGTTTCATTGTTTGTCTGTACAAAACGTAATTAGTCTCGATTTTATAAGAATTTTGTACGAACAGTAGAGTGAACAGAAATAAGAATTTTCATTGTTTAATAAAACAGTTTAGTTTCCATTACAATACTGTTAAGTTTGCCATAGTAAAAACTAGACAACAAACTATACTTCTAGCACATTTTCAGTGTCAATAAAATTATATATATCATCACTTAAAATGTGACATATTTGTTAATTTTAAAACATGTTTCATTGTTTGTCTGTACAAAACGTAATTAGTCTCGATTTTATAAGAATTTTGTACGAACAGTAGAGTGAACAGAAATAAGAATTTTCATTGTTTAATAAAACAGTTTAGTTTCCATTACAATACTGTTAAGTTTGCCATAGTAAAAACTAGACAACAAACTATACTTCTAGCACATTTTCAGTGTCCATAAAATTATATATATCATCACGTTGTGGTAAAGGCTCCATTTTGTCAAACCCATTGTTAGTGACGGACTAGGCCTCCTTTGGGACACTGGTAAAGGCTTATTAGGGGCACTCCATTCGTGACCTATTGTACTTACATAATATCAGACTATGAGGAAGGAATCTATAACTTGTAAAAAAGAAATAAAGCTCTTGCCAGAAGAATTTCTCGTTTATATTACAGACAGCCTTTAACTCTTAATTTAATAAAGTAAACACTTATGATATTAGCATGTTCAGAGGTATACGAAACCCATGTGTAAAAATATTGTTCCTCACAGAGAACTGGTTTACATAATAACAAAAACAAATGTAAACTTTATATATTAGTATTTTCCGTTCTATATGTACATAAAACGCACATGAAGTAATGCATATAAGTATTGTTAGGCCTCTGTCTCGTTGGTTAATTTTCCGTAGAAGTTCTTTCCGAAAAACTTCAGCGATACACGTCCTTTCTTAAATAAAACTAGTTTATTCTTTCTCAATACAACTTTGCAATACACTTAATTTCCACAGTCACTTTAACTTCAACACACGCCATAATTCACAATGATTTACACACTTTACTTACGGCTTGACTCGATTATCTGTCTATCCCTTCAATCTCCCTGTCTGCTATTCGAGTTCCGATTAATTGTCTCGCTTTATCTGGCGCACTTATATACAAGAATAGAGGGCGCGTAGAAAACACTAGAGTTGCCACGAACAGACATGATCCTTCTAGAATCTCATGACGTGTTACAGCGTCACGCGACTTCCGCTGTCGTAACACTGCCCCTTCCTTAGTATTGCTCGTCCCGAACAATAGCCACTTACATTAAGCCAATAGATAATTAACTATAACTTAATTAAATGTACAGAATTTACAAACACAAAATCAAACTTCAACAAAGTCTCTTAATTTTACGGGACGTATCTTCTTCCGTACTGGTCTCCGTCTCGTTGGATTTTGCTTCACGTGGGGTTCATCTGCTCCATCAAGAAATGTCCTGTTATCGGTAACAGTCACATCAGTGGTAGTAACTTCATCAAGGGCTTCACTGTTTTCCTTCTCAAAACCGGGTAGAGTGTCTTCTCGACAGTGTCTTTTCCAGGTGACACGTCTTCAGCGGCGTCTTTTGTTCCATTGTTCACTTTGTTCCAACTGAAATGCCCTGGACCATAATAACGGCAAAGCCTGTTGGCATGCACCACCTTTGGTTTACCTCGCCGACCACATTTTATTCGGAAAGTCACGTCTGAGAGACGATCCACTATGTCATATGGACCTTCCCATGGAGAAGACAACTTAGGAGACTTCCCTTTGGTC